TTCACAAGATGAACAACTAGATGTGCCATTATGTCAAAAAATGATGGAGGAAAATACATTTCAAGCTCACACAAAGTAATAACTATTTCTTTTTGCAATGTTGGTAAGATCGCAGGATCGATCACCTTACTATAAATTGACCTGAAGAAAAAACATAATTTAGTTATTACGCTTCTTACTTTTTTTTGGAAAAATAGAACGTGTACCTATTGGTAGAAAGTGTTCCATTATAACATGGCAATTATGTGTCTTTAAACTCTTTAACTTGAGGTCTTTCATAGACACAAGTCTTCTAATATATGAAGAGTATCCTTCTGGAACTTTAACTTCACTTAGAAACTTACACAATATCTTTTTCTCCTTTCTAGATAAAGTATAAGCAGCAGGTGGTAGATATGTTCAATTTCCTTTCTTCAAGGGTCCTAATTCATTTCTTATTCTCATCGCTACCAAGTCCTTTCTTGCTTTAAGGTCATCCTTAGACTTTCCTTGTATATTGAGTAACGTACCAATAACACTTTCAAATACATTTTTTTTCAATATGCATAACATCAAAAAATGTCTTACATACAACGACTTCCAATACGGCAATTAAAAAAAAATTGACTTCTTCTTCCACCCACGCATGACAAGCATATGAGCAAAAGACTTGTCAAACTTAGTACTCGCATCTTTCACCTTTTTAAAAGTTTGTTCACCTGTCAATGTAGGTGGAGCTCTACCTTGTTCTGAATTTCCATTGAATGCTTTTCTCCACCCACGGTAGTGATGATTAGAATTTAAGAATCTACGATGACCAAGAAAGACATTCTTCTGACCAAATTCCAATCGCGTCCAATCTGTGTTTTCTTCACATATAGGACACTCACATTGACCTTTAATGCTATACCCCGATAGATTTCCGTATGCTGGAAAATCATTAATTGTGCCAAACAACATCGCCCTTAAATTGAAACTTTCTTTCCTATATCCATCATAAACCTCCACATTATTATCCCACAAACTCTTTAAGTCTTCGATTAAAGGTGTCAAGTATATGTCTATGTCATTCCCTCGTTGTTTAGGAACAAAAATTAATATAGATAACATCATGTACTTACGCTTCATACATAGCCATGGAGGTAGGTTATAAATCATAATAATTACAGGCCATGTGGAATGTGAGATGCTTTGCAGACCATGCGGGTTCATTCCATCCGTAGATAATGCCAAGTGAAGGTTTCTCGCTTCTTCTCCAAAATCAGGACACTCATTATCAATTTTCATCCACTGTGGTGAATCTGCTAGATGTCGACACTTTCCATCTATAATTTTATCATCTGCATGTCAAGTCAAGTGTTTTGCATCTGTTTCACTACGAAAGACACGTCTAAATCTCTGAATTATAGGAAATACCATAACACTTTTGTTGAGGATAACTTTTTCTTATACTGAGATACACTGCATTTAGGATACTCATTTAGTGTTGCATATTCATTTCGAAACAAAATGCAATCATTTGGACAAGCATGTATCTTATCATAACTCATGCCAATAGAGCACAACATTTTTTTTTGGCTTCATAGGTTCTATTGGGAAGAACATTATCCTCCGGAAGCATCTCTTTCATGAGGGCTAATAACTCTGAAACTTTTATCCGACCATCCATTGTCCGCCTTTAAGTTGTACAACTTTAATACCGCATACAATCTTGTGAAAGTAGTACAACCTTTATACAACGGTTTCTCTGCATCATTTACCAAAATCTCAAACATTTTGGGACAATCTTGAAGATCTTCTTCAAGTGCTTCTGCAATCTCTTTGAATCGATCATAGTCGTATGTATCTGTGCCATTGTCGTTTAAAGCATAGGTCGTATTATCCTCTGGTTCAACATTATCGTTACTTATCTCACCATGTAATGTCCAACATGTATAACTTCGATCAATTCCATGCCTCTTTAAATGTGATTCCAACTGAATTGCGTCAATCTGACGCCCATAACAACAACCTAAGCAAGGACATGTGATCCTACTGGGGTCTTTGGCCCGTTCAACAGCAGACTTAATGAATTTTGATACCCCATTCTCGTACTCTTTTGACAATCGATTGGAATACATCCATTTTTTTATCCATACTAATTAAGTAGGCTAAACTAAACTAAGTAAGTTAAACAATAACAGTGATTACCTGTAGCAACTGTAGAGAAGTCAACAACTTCTAGAACTACACAGTAAGATTCTTGAAAACGATCACAATCTTACTTTTCACAAGTAACCCCTATAACAAATTAACATACAAAATTAATTCATGTTTTCATCAACAACATCAACATCAACATTAACAACATCAACATTAACAACATCAACACTCATTGTTGTTCATGATCTCACTTTTAATTAGTTTTGTATGCTATACATTACTTATCAACTGTCACCTTTTTTTCTTATATTAAGTTTAAAGTTGAAAACTTTACGTCAAGAACTATTCATTCTTGAAATTATATTTCATTTTTTCCACAAGGATAACAATGAGTTGACTGGGAGAAGAACATCATGGATGAATAATAAATATTATATGTATTTTTATTGAATGCCAACTAATGATAATATGAAACTAAAACAAAATGGTCTAAGGGGATCAAAGTTCAATAGCATGTAAAACATGTTGTTAGTGTTGTTAGTGTTATTAATGTTGATGTTGGTCTGAGGATACAATGAACTGTTAATTTATTAGAGGATATGCACATTAATTTAGAGATGTTATTATATGATGTGTTGTTATAAGCATATAATAACATCAAGAAGCAAAAAAAGTATGCTATATACTAATAAATTAATGTTGCAATCAAGCTCCCTTTGATGATTGACACAAATAATATAAATTAAAAAATTAATAGAAAGTTATTATTTGTACAAGAAGAAGACTAATTTCATTTGGTGTTTGTTGTTAAATTATATTAATTACAGTGGTCTGATTTGTTGAAAGCATTTCTCCAAGAAGCAAAGTGGTGTAATGATAAACACATACCAAAATTTGATGATTACCTTAACAATTCATGGGTGTCTGTGTCTGGTGATGTTTTACTCACTCACTCCTATTTTCTACTAAACCATAGCATAACAAAAGAAGGGCTTGAGTACTTAGAAAATTGCCATTTGTTACTACAGAGACCATCCATTATTTTTCGACTTTGCAATGATTTGGCTACTTCATTGGTAATTTCTGCCTTACATTTAAAAAAATACTTTACTAGTCAATTAGGAACTAGAAGTACACTTATATTGTCATAATTGCTTGATATTTGTAATCATCAAAACTAAGTGTTTTTAGATTTCACTTCTCTCTCTCTCTCTCTCTCTCTCTCTCTCTCTCTCTCTCAAAAATGAAAAAGAAAAGAAAATAAAGAACAGAACTGGCAACAACATGTAAATGCAAAATGAAAACGAAGAAGATAACAAAATAGAGCAGAACCGACAATAACATAACCAACAACAACATAAGAAACCCACGGTGATCCCAGCACCCCCAGCGGGGCCGTCAGAAACATTGCCGTAAGCAGTAAAAGCACTAGGAAGGATGCAGAAACTTACTTGTTGTAGTGGTGGAAAAGATGTCGTCGAACAGAGAAATCACGAAAGTCGAGCAGAAGCGATCAAGGATGTCGGGAAGAGATCTTTGGATGTTGGGCAGCTGCAAAATAAGCGAATGAGCGAAAAGACGAGCTACGTCAGCATATATATATATATATATATATATATATATATATATATATATATATATATATATATATATATATATATATATATATATATATACACACCCCTAGCACGGGAAACGAAGCATCGCTGGGCACTCAAGTGCCTAGCCCGTAACCGTTACAAAAAGACACGTGGCAACCCTCCACCTTCCCTGCGTCTCTTCAAGTTCTTCCCTTGAACACAAGCTCCACCTCGTCATAAGTTCACCTGCCCGACAGATCGACGCACCCGACGCCATTCTCTGCTCAAGTCATAGCTCGTCTGACCGCAAACAACGACTTGGGGGGCTACTGTTCTAGACTGGGCCGACGCTTAACCCTCAACCAAGCAGACCCAAACCCCACTGGGGTTGCACCCAATAGGACCATGCTGACGGGCAGAAGACCCGTCGGGCTCAACCTTCCCCCGGTCGGGCATAGGCCAACAACTGTCGGGCAGGACCATCGCAGCCGACCAGCCAACCTCTTTCTTCCCCGTCGTCGGGCAGAGTTCAGCCTGCTCGGGGAGCTCCTCGGACCTCCTCCTACGTTCTCTATGTGTCCCTCACGCAGGGACACGTCATAAAGTAACTACCCACGTTTTGGAGATTCGATCTTCCTCCTCTCGGATAGTGCGGAACAGTTACCCTAGAGCGAAGACCACGTGCTGGTCTTCACGACGCCACGTCAGCCCTAGCAATTACTAACATTGGGCATGACAACCCAACCCGGTGCTAGGTAACCGTTGGCCCTGCGCTGGGGGCTCATTAGAGGGTCAATGAACTTAACTCTCTTACTCTCTCTGTACTTGCTCCCACTCTGCTCGTTACTTACTTTGACATCAGAGTGTGTTTCAGGTACACCCCCCTCCTCTTCCATACCTTTGGTGAACAACTAGCCGATCAACGACGCGTGACATGTCACTGATTCCTTTCTGATCAGGTAAGATAAAAAAAAATCTAGAAAAAAAACACATTTGAATATTATCCATTTATTTACTTTTATTTAAACATTTTATTTTAGTTTTCTCACTTTCTATCGGTATTCAGTGTTCACTTCACAAGTCTTTCCGCTGAGAACAGAGAACGTAACAGTCTTAATCCTTAGACGCGGCGTGTCTCCGGAGGGAGTAACGAGCAACGAGCAACCAACGTTTATTGGTTACGTGCTTGGTTAAGGGCTACTTCTCCACCCAATTTCCCTTCCTTCGCCGGTAACCTAACCGTATTGCAACTCCGCGCTTCTTTCCGATCTCTACTGTATCTAGGTTTTTTCGAACTTCATGGCTTCCCCTGCACGTTTTGACGATGTAAGTGCTGTTAATACCTCTCATTATTGCCTTCTACGATTCTGTTTGATCTTAATATCGATTATTTCAAATGTAGGATTTTGATTTCGGAGGTGAAATTGGCGGAAGAGAATCAGGTTTTTGATTTTGTTACTGAAACGGTGTTTTCTTAGATTTGTTGGTTTATTTGTTGATTCTGTTTGATTGCTTTGTTGGTTGGATAATGCAGGTAATAAGAGACCATCGCCGGATTTCGATGATGAAGATTATGACAATGATCCTTTTGCACCGAAGAAGGTAACTTCTTACACGAATCTGTTATGAAATGCTTGTATTTAGCTTAGGATATTAGGGTTTATGGTATTCTCTCGGTCATTAATCGTGTTGGATTGATAGTTTATGAGTAAGCAGTTGGATATATGAAAATGAGGCAACTTCAACATGTTACTGTGTTCTTGCAGTAATGCAATTTGATCATTTTTGTATGACGGGAGTGGTGGTTGAGCCTTGGTGTCTTACATGCTCTGTCTTTCTTATGCACAAAGTTCAAGTACATTACTGATTAGTTATGCTGGTTTGATTGAGGGTGTTTGTTTGTTGATGTATTGGTGATCAATGGAAGTTGGCATGTGTGAAGTGAGTTGCTTTCTCTATGTATTCAAATAAACAAAAACACTAAGGGAGCATAGCTTAGTCAAAACATTAAAATAAAAAGTTTATTAAGGGAGCACATCTACTCGAGCTTATGCGAGCTCACATAGGTCCTACTGTAGGTTATATTTTCTCTGAACTTTCCTTGTAACTAAACTAAATGAACTGTCCTTGTAACTATAAACTAACTGACAGTTATTAGTTTGTTAGGTTCCTTTAGCAGTTTAGTAACATAAAATGCAATCTATATTGTAATTGTTTAGCAATTCAATTTTCAGCTCAATATACAAAATTCAATTTCTTAGATTCTTTACACTTAGATTTTGGGTTGGGCCTAACTAAACCTTACAAAACTGGCTTGGAAGGTAAGGAAAACCCTCACTTATAAATATATTTCCAGGCCATATCTCGTCTGCAGTGGGGCACTTTTAACATTTACCACCGTTTGTGATGTAGGCCAAAACTAAAGCTGAAGAAACTGCTTCTGGTGTAACAACAGGAATGATCTTGTCACTTCGTGAAAGGTATTTCTCACCATAGCTACTGTGAAACATATTGTACTGTGCCTAGATTGGAGTACAATATTTGGGCCTTGTTTACTTTGTAACCTTTTTTTTCTTCTTATTTTGCAGCCTCCAGATCTGTAAGGATCAGCTTGCAACATGCCAAGTACGTTTTCCTCTAAAGAATTCACATTGTATTGTTTTCAACTTTAAGTTGGCTTGGATATTTTGTACATAAAGAATTTAAACTTTTGTTGCTGTAGTAAGTGTTATTTTGTTAAAAATAATATGATCTAACACTTGGACACTCATGAGTAGTTCACAATGAAAAGGCTTTAATCTTCATGTATAATTTTTGGATGGTAATGATTTTGAATAGAATGTTCTCGCATCCTTCCCTCATTCCTGTAGCTGTCCCTGATCAGTTAGAATTGAGGGTTGCTTTGTTTTGTTGCACACATGATAGTCGTCATATATATGGTTTAGTTTCACGTTTTTCTTTCTTAGAGTATTTGATTGAAATAACTGCATTTCCAGAATGAGCTCGAGGCTGCAAAGTCTGAGATTCAGAGTTGGCACTCATCAATTCAAAATGAGCCTGTTGTGCGTGCCGGGGCTACTCCAGGTTTGTTTGTATTGTGTGTTTTGCAAGTAGTATATACTAAATATCTGTTTCAATTGTTCAAGATTTAGCTCTTTTGACAATTACTTTCTGTATTTTAAATTTACACCTGAACTGTTGTTTAATCTTTCCTCTTGCTAGAGCCAAAAATGTTGATTGATTATCTTCAGGCCCTGAAATCATCTGAAGAGTCATTGAGAGAGCAGGTTTTGAATCAAACTTCCATTTCCTCGTCAAAAGAATACATTATCTATGGACTAGGTTTCATTGACTCTACAATTTTTCTTCTGGTTGTCAGCTTGAAAAAGCAAAGAAAAAAGAATCGGCGTTCATTAAAACGTTTGCAAAACGGGAACAAGAGATAGCAGAGTTGAAAGTAATATTCTGAACACAATTTTTTGTTTTGTTTTCTTGTTTGGTTTAGCAATTAGCTTGACTGTGTGACGTGTATGTTTTTCTTTTCGGCATCCAGATCAACAGCCTAAGTATGTTCCCTATGTTTGCCTTTAAAGTATAGTAAGGATATAGTAAGAATAACTGCAAAATGCAGTCTTTCTTGATCTTGCACTCTCTCATTTACATCTAACAACAGAGAACATCAAACTATTTTGTTGAGGTTTTATGATAGTGTGCTTAATAATTCTCAACAAAGCGTCTTTTACTTAATTGATGGCTGGCTTTTAATGGCACCAATATATCATAACATCATAATCATCCTGAAATCCTTTCATTATGAGTTTGGCTACTAAAGCTACAGATTTAACATAATTCTATTAGGTTTTTATATTGGATCTAACTCATCATTAAAAAACCAATTTGTAAGGTGAGATGTGCCACTATTTATCAACTTTTTTTAAGCTTTGTCTCTTTTCAATGTGGGACTTGGATTTTTCATAATACACATCCTCACGGCCAGTGCTATTAAGCATGGTGCATGGATAATTTGGTGGGTGACTGAATGGATAGACTTTGGTACCATATTAGTTTTTTTCTCAGACCTAACTCATCCTTACAAAATCAACTTGTAATTATATGAATGTCACTCTATATAAACTTTTTTCAGACCAAATCTCTTTTCAATGTGGGGACTCGGGTTTTTCACAATAATTTCCTATCTACTATTATTGCTGTTATTTATATTGTTATTTTTTCATTTTGGTTATGGCTATCTGTAACTTTCAGTCTGCTGTTCGGGATCTGAAAGTACAACTCAAGCCTCCATCAATGCAGGTATGCTTATAAAACATGTTTAAGTGTACCTATAGAAATAAATTTGCTACCAATGAATTTTTTTTTACTCACTGATGCTTTTTCTTTATGCATTCATCTTTAAACCCAATTGATATTTTAGATTCTTTTTAGCAATGTAGAAACTGCTTGTGAGTTGTGATTACCTTCCTTCATTTCTTTTTGTTTTTTAGTCTGCATCTTGCTTTGCAGAAATGTGTTTGCATTTTATTAAGTGCTGAAGTAACATGTACGCCATGGATAATGAACCACATTAGTTATTTCTTCTTTACTTGGAATTTGTGTTGCAAAGGTACGGGTACTTGTACGGAATGCGTCATTTTTAAAAAAACCAAGGTACGGGTACGCGAGTATAAATTCATATTTACTACGATTTCTCTTAGTAGAAGATGAAGAACTTGGTTGTGCAAGGAGTTTCAGTGCAATGAATTGAAGTTTAGGGATTTAAGATCCATAAGTTATCCACAATTCCTTTGGTTTCAAGATCCACCGATCTTGCAACGGAATAAATTGGCCAAACTATACATTAGCACTTGAAATCCCATTAAAGAAAACCCTAAAACTATACCATTAAAAGAAAAAAAATTGAGTTTCCATACCCAATATGTACTGAATATGTATCCGCTGGAGTACCGACTTAAAAAACAATAAAATAAAAAATAGGTACGGTGTCGGTACGTACCATACGAGTACCGTACGCGTACCGGTACCGGTACTTTGCCTAAGATGGAGTGCCCATGCTTCACAGCTTGGAATTTATTTATAACCTGTTTGGGTTGCTTTAAAATTTCAGTTTGTTTCAGAAAAACAATTATATTTTTAATTTGCTCGTTTAAAAATACAATTTTATTTTTAGAAAAATAATTGTATTTTTGTTTTTCCAACAGTGACAACATTCTCAGTAAATTCACTGGCTAAATGTATTATTCTACAATCATTTACAACAGATAGAAAAATTTGAAGATTTAATTACTAAGTTATCATCTTGTTTTGTCAGACCATGAACTGTTTTTGGCTTGTTAAATAAATTAAAAGCACCCGTATAATTATATCTATAACCTCAATTTCATTGGAAGTGGTACATGTTGCATGTACTTCAAGGGCAAAAAACACCCATCTATCAAGTAACGAGGGGTCTTGTTTTGTCGTCCCTCATTGCTTCAAAATTGTCTTAGTCTTAGCACAACATTTTTGGTCTAGCATTCTTGTCTTGGCATTGTTTGATCCATGTGTCTGACTCTACTTAGTGGTGAAGTGCTTAGTTTGCTTCTTTTAACTTAACTTATAGAAATTCAATAGCTGTGTCAAAGGAGGAATAACATTGAATTTGTTGTTGAAGTGGTTCTTATGTTCTGACACTATCGTTGTCTATTCTGTTGTACAACTATGGCATCTTTGTTAGCTGACTGACTGTATCAAGTTGGTTGTATCTTGCATTTCATTTTTGTTTTTCTTTTAAAATAATTTTGCTCAAAACAGAACACCTTGATGTTCTTTCTGATGTATTTTTCAGGCAAGAAGGTTGTTACTAGATCCGGCTGTTCATGAAGAGTTCACACGTTTGAAGGTTTGCAATTTAACTTAACAATCACATTTATGGAATCAAGTTTGATTTATCTCTTTCTCCTTTTCACGGATATACACAAATGGAGGCGGGGAGAATTGGATGTCATCCTCTAGTTGCACTAGGTAAAAGGTTGGTTCAAGTTGTTATTGGGATTGTCACCTAAAAATAAAGTGAAGAAAATCTCGTAACATTATGAGCAATGCTGTTACATAGCAGTAGTGTTTCATCCCATGGCCACCGGAGGAATTTATTAAGATTTTGTTTTTCTTTGTAAGTCACATAATGAGATGGAACAAAGCTGGCCTAACACTATAGAAGAGCATATCCAAGCACTGTACTTTAGGTATGCGATGCAAACAGGGTTTGGAAAGTGATGCGAAGTTGATAACTTTTATGAGTCAGGGTGGTTTTGAATGTTTCATTAGGGATTTCTGATGGCATATTAGATAAGGGAAGTACCTTTAAATTGCAGAAATAAATCCAGAGTCAGCAGCACACAGTTTCTGATGCTCTATTGCACATATTTTCTATGTATTGTCTTGATTACTTTTTCTTGTGGCTCAAGATACTCCATGTTTCTTTAATTTCATTTATACATCTCTGTCCTCATTCAACATTTCCTACACACACATTCTCCATTTTAGTAATTCTTACAAAAGTTCTTTGTTTATTAGAACTTAGTGGAGGAAAAGGAAAAAAAAGTAAAGGAGTTGCAAGATAACATTTCTGCAATAACTTTTACTTCCCAAAGTAAGATGGGGAAGATGCTGATGGCTAAATGTAGAACCCTGCAAGAAGAAAATGAGGAGATTGGAAATCAAGCTTCTGAGGGAAAGGTGCTATCATCTTATTTTGTTTATGCCTTTAATTGTCATCTTTTCCCTTTCCATTCACGTGCTGTACTAGTAACAGGATGTAATTTTACACTTGCATGTACATACCAATAAAATTAGAAGCTTAATGTGTCCTATGCATTTTTTGGTATTCAAATTCATTGCTGCTAAATTGATATTGTGTTGCTCTCCATTTCTTTTGGTGTGCAGATACATGAATTAACGATGAAGCTTGCATTGCAGAAGTCTCAAAATGCACAACTCAGAATTCAGTTTGAAGGTTTTTTTGCTTAATGAAATTCATTTAATTATGTTCTGGCTTTTTCGATCCTTTTACACTTTCCATCAACTCAGTAACTGCTGTCACCTTTCATGGCGGATTAATAAGTGCATTTGTATTTGTAGTTGTGTTTATTTTCATATCAAACATTATGCAGAATAATAATGTTATTGTGTGATTTTGAAGCTATTCATTTGATTCATAATAATGTGCTAGACATATCATTATATATGTTTATCTCATTATCTTCTGAACATGTTAGATTAGTCTGTTAGAAGTAGTTGCGTCATGTTCTCTTGTCTAGAAAATTGGAGATTATTGGGGCTGAAATAATGTGATATTTTTTTGAGAATTGAGGGTTTGTATATTGGTCTAGCTAATGTCTTTTTATGTGGCCAGCCACACACTTGCAATTCATGTAAACATTAATCCTTAACATTGATTGACTACAGGATTGCAGAAGCATATGGAAGGACTGACAAATGATGTGGAGAGATCAAATGAAACGGTTTTTACTTCTCCCTGTTTCTTAGTTTATGCAAGTTGTGATGCATGTTCAGTTTTAAAATGCTTCATTAGATTTGGTTATGGATGAATTTGAGAAAATGGAGAAAATGAAACTACCTTAAAACCTCAAGAAAATTAGCACACTGAATTTTCTTAAATGTGATCAAAAAGATAATTGCATCCTTCTAACTATTTTTCTGTTTCATGAGAATATCTTGTTTGGGATCTTGAATGTTTAATTAATATAAAAGTATTTATAAGAACGGTATCATTATGTAGCTACAGAAAGATAGGATTTGCTTATATAGGTTGGAGGGAGTATAAAAATGTAACATCCCATCTCAATACTGAAACAAATCCCGAAGTGCATGTTTGGAGAGTGATCTGTAACAGTGGTTTACCATGCATGAATATGTTCCAACACCAAAACTGTTTTGAAATTAATAAGTAACTAACAATATTTTGAGAACCCTACTTATGGATTTTTCACGCAGGTTCTTATGTTTCAAGAGAAGCTAGAAGAGAAAGATCAGGAGATCCAAAGACTGAAAAATGAACTCCAGCAAAATAACTTAACAGAGGATGGAAGATCTGATGAAACTTTAAATAAGAGTGAGGGCGATAAGGTGATGACCGAGGAGGCTGCAAAAGAGTTGATTTCGGTTTAATTTTTTTTCCCTAGGAAATGTTTTTGTAAGTTTCTACCTGTGGTTGTATATTATATTGATTGATCTTGATCTAAATCTCTTTGAAAAGGACGATTTTGATCCTGCTCTGCTCCAATTGGAATATGATCCTCATGGAAGATGGTGCTACTTGGTAACATTTTGTCGTTGTATTTAGTTGGTTACAATTCAAGGGAGATAGAAAGTAAGTTGGTAAAATTAAAAGAAGAAAAGATGCAGACATTATAAATAGTTCAGTCTCTTAAAATGTAACTGTTACCTTAAACCATGGTCACTACTACGCATCTGTTTGGTTTAATTTTAAAAAAAAATATTTTTTTTTCAAAGATGAGTTTTTAATCGTTTTTTAAAATATTACAAATTTTTTTATATTGATATTTTTTTTTTTAAATTGAAAGATTGATTGACATTTTATAATATAAACATACATTATGAATGATCAAAATATGGTCGAAGTTACAGTTTTTTTAAAAGGTTGTATTTCAAAAATAATTTATATGAAAAGTTATTTAAAATAATTTTAAAATTTAGTGATCTTTTTGAAATTTTGATATTAAAATAAAGTTTTTATAAAGTATCTAAAATAATATTTTAAAAATAATTATTTAAATCAAATTTTTATTCGACTTTAATAAAAAAATTTAAATTTTTATTTACGTAATAATTATGTTATACTATAAAAATCATTTAAAAAAAAGACAACAAATTGGTGTTTGATTATGTGTTAGTGAAAATTCATTTTGATACAATATTTTCTTTTGGTAATAATACAATTTATTTTGATTAAACTAATTTTAGTTAAAAATGAGTTGAATATAAATTTATTTATATTTGACTAGATTTCAAAAGTGATTTTAATTAATTTATGCATATTTAATGTGTTTGGTTATATAGTGACAAGAATTGATTATGAGTGAATTGATTTTGTACAATATATTGATTTTAAATAATATTGGAGTTATGTAACAAAGACGTGTATGAATCTAATTTATATTTTTCAAAAAAGAAAAGTTTATTTAATCAATAAAATGTTAAGTAAGAAAAGTTTATTTAATCAAATATGTTAAGTAACATTTCAAACGCGATTCTAATTAATTTATGTATATTTAGTGAGTTTGGTTTTTCTCCAATTATCCAAGGAATTGCGTTTATAACAACATTACAATTTCATTGAACATTGTGTTAAAGGCTTCCTCATTTGCACTTTAAAACATGAACAATTGGTCAAATGAACTAAAAATTGGAGAAACAATACACTTTGAGAAAGCATTTATCAAGAGATGGTTACTGAATAATCTAATTACTATCAGTCAAACTTTTTTTATAAACTACAAATTGTTGTAGAGTTGATTTGTACTTTTAGATTAGAAACTACAAATTGTTGTGTTGAGTGGAATCAATTTTAGAAACAAAAATATATTTCTCAAAATCCCAGACCCCTTTATACAGGCATATGTACAGCAAAACATAGGCTACATTGGTCTGGTGGATGGAGGTATGTTTCTCTATGGCACTGCCGCATAGTTAGACTTGATCCTTTTGTTAATTTCGACGAGGCCATCCCAAGCCTGCACTGCCGGTGTTTCCAACTGGTTGAATAGGTTCCACCATGCCCTTTGTAGAGTTTCCAAGCCCTTCTCCCTGCACAAGGATGAGAAAGAAGTAACTTTAGAATGATAATTGATAATAAAAATCATAAATTTGACTACTCCAAAGTAAATTAAGTGAAGTAAGAAAATCAGTGTTTGTTAATATGATAAACTTGGTCCATACATCCTTCCATCCCATGCCTTCTAGAAGTTTCCTGGCATAACTACCCGGTCCAAATGACATCTTCAAGGCCTCTTCTTTAGCTTCTTGTGGACTAGCATCAGGTGATGGTGCCATATCATAACTGCCACCAAGATTCTTCTGTCCTGGACCCACACCAAAGCCACCATGCAAGATTCTTCTTTCTGCCGCACGATCTCTGTATTGGCTTTTTATTTGCTGGCATAATAAAACAGTAAATGAGTTGAAAGCTAACAGATTCGGAAGAAGGGAGATATAAATTAAGAAACCCTTTTTCTATTTGTTATATAGTTATCCGTCCCCTTTGTGATCCCTCCAGCTTCAATAATCAACAAATCATGACAATTAGAAGACAGTTATTACATATGTTTAACATCCATGTCTACCATTAGAACTATCATTTATTTGCGTTTCTCTTTAAGTTGGACATCCATCTATTATACAAGGAAAGAAAGCAGCAAGCGATTGTCAGATTTCAATATTACACACCTTGGATGCAGAAAGCTGACTTGGCAACATAGGCAAATCCTTCTCTGTAGAAATTTCCTTTGAAGTGAATGGAGTACTTTCACCGGACTTGGACACATGCGCGCTATTAGTATTAGATGATAGCTGAGGAAAATTCCAATGTTTTGTTGGATTGGAGGAATCATAACTTGATAATGAAGCCACATATCTTGCACTGGGATTTCGCAATCTATACACTTGTCCTGATAAAAGAGCATGGCAAGAAGCCGTATTCAGTCCAGGAAGTACTTCTAGTACCACTATGAAAAAATCCCAATACTGCTTCATTTTAAAACTTCCGATGCAAGCACCATTCCAATTGCTTATAAATTATAACTTGTCCATGATTCTAAAATGAAATTTATGAGTAGCAAGGCTAGAGAGGAATAACATTTACTGTTAAGAAATGTGGATTGGGCCTAACTAAACCCTACAAAACCTGCTTCACATCGGACAATATATTATGGTTTAAACATGTACTTATGAGTGGGAGCAATTCTCACCCTATAAGCCGGGTCGAGTTAGGTATATATGGCTGCCTCTCATGTCACAACGTGCATAATAGCATTAGCTATATCCCATGACACGAGGAAAGATATACACTGACAAGTATAAGAGTAAAAAATGCAAACCTGTTTTGACGCGTACCAGATCGAGATGTACTTCACAGATAGGAGCAGATTTAAATTTCTTTTCACCAGATGAGATAGATGGATGCCGCTTTGCAGATTGTTTAACCAGTTTTCCGACCAACTTTGCCACCCTATCCTTTCCATCTTTTTTGGAAGCTCTAACCATTTCCCAATCCCATAGGTCTGCAACTGGAAACTCTAAAACCAAATCTTTCCTTGATTCAATGACTTGACCATACTGAGCTTTCCATTTTTCTTCATCCAACAACATGCCTATAATGGTTTACATCAAATATATGAACATAAGCAGACGCAACCTCACTCATGGTATGATAAAAGTATTATAAAATCCATGCAGAGAAGCAAAAGCATTTAATAGGGAACTTGAGGCAAAGTTGGCTGAATATACAAGGAAATAAGCTCTTGTTAGATGATTGAACCTTCAAGGAAACAGCTCATTGATTCATGTGGTGAACGCATAGTGCACATCATAATAACCTATTGGAAAATTATTTCTAAGTATATAAAGTATATAGCACGTGCTAGTTAATTGAGACACAAGCTTTAAGATGATTATTTAGATATGCGAGCAAAGGGAAATACCTTCATCTATGGTACTTGTATCAGCTATGTGATTTTCTTCCTCTGGGATCCACTCACCTTCTTCAAGTTCATACGTATCACTGTAAGCTACAACTTCATCTACAATTCTTTTATCATCAGCCTTGCCGTTTTCATCCTCCAGGCCCGTGCTCCACTCGCCTTCCACTTCATAAGTGTTGCTGTAAGCTATATATTGAGAAACATATTCATTTAGGAGTGATCTCAGTTATCACTTTTTTTTTACAGAAAAGTTACGTAGGCTAAGAACAAACCGTTAGCTTCTAATGTGGAGTTATATCCATCGGTTTCCAGGGGAAATGTCACTATATCAGCTGCACTGAGCGCTATGTTGTTGTAGCCAGACAAGTAAAGATCAATAAGCGTGTCCTCCAACCTGTTCATTAGCAAAATGATTAATTCCCAGAATTATTTTGAACTTATAATCATCAAAAGAATAAGAATGCAGAAGGAGGATACCATTCCGATGGTGGTGGAGGGTTTCCACAAGTTGGACTGTTGGTGGAGTTCGGGGCATCTATTACAAAGACATCTACATACTGTAACATTGTTGACAGAACTATCCTTGATAACATGAACATCGAAGTTCCATTAAAATACAACAATACAGTATACACGTTAACTTCACTTACCAACCACAGCTTCCTCGGCCAACGTTCCAGTCCGTTGGTTAGTTTCAAATTCGTTTCCGAGAAAGGAAGGGCAATCCTCATTGTTATTAATGTTATGTATTTGCCGAGGGCTTTCGGGTTTGGTTTCCTCCCACACATTTGTTTCTTCACAATTATCCTAAGACACATGCAATAAAACTTGAATCACCAACTTGAAATTACAACCAACTATTCATCTAAAGATAATGTAAATGAATTAGAAGGCTAAACCTACCTTATTGGAATCTAAAGGTACATAATTCCCATCTTCAAATTTGTAATAAACACCATCATTGGTGCTATAGTACCAACCAGCATTGGGGTCATGATAAAATCCACTACTGCACAATAAAGCTTGTTATATTCAAGATTCACATGTAATACAAATCATTACAAATAAAATCAAAAGAAAAATCATAGTTTTATAATTGAAATTCATTCATGAGAAGCATTGTTTGAAATGAAGGGAGGGAGGAACCTGGCGTGGAAGTAAAGGTGCGATCTTTCGTCCCAAACAAATACAGAATCGCTATTTTCCGAATTTTGGGGTTCTGGGTCCATAGATTCTGTGATTCGGTTGCTGAATTACTGAATTTTGCGTTCGATTTGAATCAACCGATACAAAAATTAAAATATCAAACTATTTGATTTGAGTTGTATCCTTACACTCTGTTTGGTTGCAGAAGGAAGGAAAATAAGATAGACGCTTTCTTGGAAGTAGAAGGTTCATCTGTTTGGTTCCACTTCTAATGAGAATGTTGTTCACTTCTAAAATAATTGAAATAAAAATTGCAAACTAGTTCAATAAAATTGAATACAACCCAAAAATCTTAATGTTATTTCATGTTTCGGGATTGTTTTTATGGATGCTATAGGGTGGAAAAAAATTTTATGAAAAATTTTAAATATTTATTAAATTTTGAAGATTTATTTTCGAACGTACCATTATCTTAAATTAAAACGCTACAACGAAGATACATCTCTAAAATATTTCAAAACACGCCTCATATATTTCATTGAGTCACACCAACAAATTTGTAAACATGAATTTCAAGATTTATCTCCGAAATATTTCAAAACACACCTTAGACATCTCTCTCAGAAATGTCCATTTTAAACATTTATTGATCAAGAGATGCATCTCCGTTTAAAATTTACGGAAATACATCTTTGTAACTAGTCAAACCAGTGTAAGTTAAGTTAGTTTTATGGTTATTTAAATGAAAATGACAATTTATAAATGTTAAGGATCTTGTTATGTGATGAGCATTAAACCATACAATTCATACACAAAAAATGACATATAAATCCTGAGTCAAAATAAGTCATCATGACATATACAATAAAGTTGAAATACAATAAAGTCGAAATAAGTAAAAATAAAATACAATAGAACATAAATCCAAACTACAAATACTATCAACTACTATGTATGCTGGACTCGAGCTCCTCAGACTCCTCTGCCCCCCATACATCAGTGTCTTTCGGACCTCTGTCATAATGGCATCTAGGACCTCCCTCACCTCTGAACCATTAGAAAAATACTTGTGTCAATACATATCTATGCAATCTCTACAATACGACGACATTTAGGTAACGCATCATGAGTACGATCTAACATAACTTGATTCTCCTCTAGTATCTCATGACGAGTTGGTCTCAGTGGATCTCATAGAGCAGCCTGCTATCGCATCTCGAAAAATAAGACCTTGCAAGCGCATCACACGCTCGTGGATGATTAACATAGTCACCACCAAGTTTTATTTATTCCTAAGTAAATGGAAAATAATGATAATTCTAAGAGAAAAGGATAAGATGATCATCACAACCAAATATGGGTTTAGGAGTCAGTTATGCGAGGGGAAGGTATTATCACCCCCTCACACCCGTTGTACTCAACGGGAATCTCCTATAGTGTTAGGGTTAAGGGTTTGCATAAAGAACATTTGTAATTTTTTATTTCTATTTTATTAAAATATTTACAAAAAAATATATTTACAAAAGAAAAGGAAAAAATTAGTTTTTTAATTAGTGTGCTTGCCGGGGTTTCAAAATCACGTGTCTACGTATTATCAAGTGCAATGAGAAAATCAGAGTATCGTAGTTGGGCAAAAAATAAGTGTGTGTTGGTTGATTTTACATAATAGGATTTAAGTCAAGCTCTTGCGTTTAAACATTGACTTGTGTTGTGCGGTTTTCGAGGTCGCCCCAACAGGTGAACTTTTAATTTATCCCAAAATGAGGGAAGGGAAAAAAAATCTAAATAAACCCGTGAGTGTGCAATGTAAAACAATGCAATAAGAGATTGAAAGTTCGGAGTTAGTTATACTAAGGAAATGTACTAGCACCCTAAGTATCTATAATATCATATAAGAATCTCTTGTGTATATTTGTGTTACTGTTGATTAAGTCATCTGCTGTGTATTGGGAATTTGTTGACTGTTTTGAGTGAGTGATAAAAGTGAGAAATGTTTTTGTTTGTTTTTGTAGAGTAAGTTGAAAATAAACTAAGACAAAGGTGTAAGAACCTAAAGGTTTTACTTATTATTGTGCTTGCTAAGATCTCACAATCTTATGCCTACATATTCTCAAAAGAAAGTTGAGAAATCAGAGAGCTCGTAGTTCCACCTACTAATGCCACATCTTCCTTTAAATGAGTATTTGCATATTAAGAGAAGGACCTTGACTTGGATATAGAATCAACAAGTGTGCCACTTACATCACTATAATGAAAGAAGTGTTTTTGTACCATAATAAGAGAAGGACTCCAACTTGGATTTTGAATCAACAAGTGTGCCACTTACATCACTTAAATGGGAAAAAGTTTGTAATATTTGATTTATGTTATGGGGAATAGAAGAGACATATCTTCTATAGAGATGATTCATGTCTTATCTCTGGGGGGGGGGGGGGGGGGGGAGTTTTGAATTTGAAGCCAAAGGTTGGCTAGGGTTTGACTTGAAGTTTGAGGTTTGAAGCCACAAAGGGATATGGTTTTGACTTGAATGTTTGAAGTTTGAAGCCACAAGAGGCTATCCTAATGTTTTATCGAAGTTGAGAACCTCAAAAGGAATCCTATGATTTTAACTGAGTTATAGTATGAAGAGGATCCTAAAATTTTAACTGAGTCTAAACTTAAGGATGAGTATTCAAATGAAACAGTTGTATGAATGCAAGTGTCATGAACCTAAATGTCAAGAGAAACTTAACAAGACAAAATTGATTAAGCTTTTAAACAAATGTAGTCATCAAGGATGAAATGAACATGATTGTGATCAAGCATGGTATATCAACATGTGAATGAGCATTAGACAAGTAGACATGTTCATCATGGTGAGAGATTATGAAGGAAATACTTGAATATGTGAGCAAAGATTTGATCAATTGAAGCAATCACAAATAAGTTCAAGCAAACATATATTCAAGATGGTCATGGATTAGGTGAACATATAAAATGGTAAATAAAACCCTAATGGAAATTTATGAAGATAAGCACATGAACAAGTCATTTAAACATGGTTGAATCAAGGGCTCTGGGGAATCCAAACTCAAGTGGAAGCCTAGTCATGTATTAATATGTTCTTCAAAAGATTAGTTGAACAAAACCCTAAGGTTTAAACTAAACATCAAATAATCAAGGCATTCTTCAAAAGAAATAACATATAATCATGGTATATTAATGGTGTATGGTCCAAGACAACATATTAAGAACATTAATCAAGCTTTAAACAAAGTATATTATGACCATAAAGACACATATATACAATTAGGTCAAGACAATAATAAAAAGGAATCATGAAAAGATATGAAAAATACTTTAAAAAGTACTAGTTTTCAACCTAATAAAAATGACAAAAATAAATATTACTTTTGAAATTTTTTGATGGATTCTCAAAATAGGGAAGATAAATGGGAAGTGTGCAAAAAATTATTGGAAAATAATGATTTTTACTTGGTGAAATAATTGGATGAAGTTGTGAAGAAAACCAAAGAAAATAGTGATAAAAATTAGGGAATGCTCCCCGTGAGGCTTGAACTCACGCCCTCAAGGTGGTGGGCCTAAAACATTACCAGCTGGGCTATTACGCACGTAGTGAAAAGGAATGTGCAGTGTAAATAATATAAAGAGTCAACATATGAAAATGTTAAAAAAAAATAACATCAAAAGGCCTAGGGCGAGGGGGATTCAAACCCCAGACCTTGCACACACAAACCCTTAAAACCAACGCATTACCACTAGGGCACAATGACAATTCGTTAATTAACTTGCACTGAAAAATAATATATTAAAAATGCATTTTATTTTGAAAAATGGTTCCACCACCATGCTTGTTCTTCAACTTCGTGTTCATCATCACCTTCATCATCTTCAAATTCTATCTCTCTCAATACGCAATGAAATGACATGATGTAAACACCAAAGTTGTTGGAAATTTAATAAGGAATTCAATGGTGTAATTGAATTTCATTTATATAAGGGAAATAGTCCTTACATTACCAAAAACATGTTGGTAACTCAAACAATCACGTATGATACATGAATTACGGAGTTCAGATTTTGGAAAACTTACCTTGCAAGTGAAGATTTATTTCTTTGATAGAGGTGTCACAAAAGCAATCTCTTGATGCTAACAACTTCCTTGACCTACAAGGAGTGTATTGATGTGTTTAAATTGACTTGAAACCTTCTGAAACTCCTTGGCTAAATCAATATGCAGCTTGATGCAAGTGAGATATGGAGGATGTGATAATGGTGTTACAGAAAGTATATGAGAGTTTGATCACTTCTATATGATGTATATGAAGTGTTTGGATGCCTAGTTTGGTTGGAGATTGCTTGGAGTTGAAGTTCCAAATTCTCACTTCTTTGACATTTTAAAATTTAAAAGGAGGAGGATTTCTTAGAAAACAAGCTTTTTGATATGTTTCAGTGTGATTTGAATGATGCAAAATAATCTCTATTTATAGAGAAACATTTCAGATTTTTGGAGAAAAGTTTGGATTAGGATACATGCTATTATCCAATGGATGATGACATGTACCTATTACTTGACTGCTAAGGTACACATAGACTATCTCTCACATGGATAGAATCTTGATCTTTTGAGATTGAATTTATCAGATTGCAACTCATCCCTTGGTGTTTTGATCATTCTTTGACAGATTGTGGTGGTTTTTGATCAATTCACTATTGCACTTTAATGCTAAAGGACAAAACTTAAGTTCCTAGCTTTGGAATGATTTTTTTCACATGCAAAGGGATAGAATTTTGGAAATTCTGTTGTGATCTTACAGAGCACATGGTGTATTATGATTTTGATGTTGAATGTGTGTAAAGATCAAGCTTAGAAATTGCTCAAAACTCACTCCAAAATCGTGTGGCACAAGAAACTATCTTGAGAATTCAGTTGCATCCATCCCTTTTATAAAATTCATATCTTCTTGCTCAAGTAAGATCAATAGATGTTCTTGAACATTTTGGAAAGCTGAGATAATATACTTCAAGCTTGATGTTCAAGGTTTATCTTGAATCAATATGGATCATGGAGAAAAATAGCCTC